AAAAAAAAAACAGCACAATGAAGGACTTAGACTAGGGATCCTCAAACTTTTTAAACAAGGGATCACTTGAGCCCAGGAATTTGAGATTGCAGTAAACTATGCAACTGTCCCTCAGATCGTTGGAAGGGCTGGACTGCAGGCCCCGGGACAAGTCTGCTGCTAAGCATGACAGGCAGTGGTGGCAAAAACACCCGGTGGGCTGGATAAATGTCCTAGGTGGGCTGCATGTGGCCCACAGGCTGTAGTTTGAGGATACCTGACTTAGACCCTTGTGGAATGAAGATTGGATTGCTATAATAGGTACAGAATCCAGAGCAGCTGAGGTTCTGGTTAAAGGCAAGGAAAATATGGAAATGATCATTGAAAAGGACATGGATATCAGTTCCAAGCTCAGACCAATGACAGAACAAGAAATATAGTCGTTTTACATACTTCTCTTTGCTTGTTATACATATGTGTTTGTTTATATGCATTAGTTTATTTATATAAACTAACCATTCCTCACTTCTTATCTCCTTCCTGCTTTTATTTTATATGTTACTAGAGGTTAAATATGTAGTCATTAGACAACAGAATATCCAGTGAGAATGCGACTACATCTGAGGAGTAATTAAGATGGCCATGATGGGGAAGCAATGACTCTTGTCCCACTATGGGGAAGAGTGAGAATTTTTCCCTTATTTGTTTGTTATTAGGGAAATTTCCATGTGTCCATAAGGGTACATATGGATGATGAGATGCCAAAGAAGAGACTATGCCAGTTCCAAATTTATTTCTCTCAGTTTCAATGTTATCTTCAATACCTACTATGGAATATAAGACTGTATTCTTTCTTAATATTATACTTACGTTAACTATTAAGCTTTATAGGTAAAAATATATCATATATTTAGTATAGGTACTACCTTAGCATGCATTGTTAGGCCTCACATAGCTATCTGAAACTCACTCATACCCTGTCATCTTTGGCCTATTTAAAAAATCCCTCCTGGAGGAGGCAAGATGGCTGACTGGAGCCAGCTTTCGGTGTTGAGTCTTTGCCACCTGCTCACACAATTT